AATGTTAGCTTTCCAGACACAGTAGATTAAACAGTAACCCTCAACCAGCGTTTCAGATAAGGTCCCTAATGGCTATGATCCGTTAAGCACGCCCTTGGGCTCGAACCGTACTCCATGGTCCTATGGGAAATTTTTCAGCTGCCGTCGGTATAGAAAGCTATCATAGAATTTTCTGACAGGGTGAAATGTGCTCTTCAAGCTTCAGTTGGGATCATTCCACTTGAATCCAGCAAAATGTAATTAATCAATTCCGTTTTAAGCACAGAGAGGAGTGACTCCTTCCAGATCCCCCTCTACCTACCATCCTTCTTAATAACAATCAGGACAATAAAACTTTTTCTTAAATGCCCAACAAAAAAATCTCGCAGGCTCAGTCACTCTTGTGTAAGTACGATCTTTGAAACCTCGTACTCTTTCTGAGAGAGGGGCAACATAATTTTGCGGAGTCATGAGTACCAGTGAGAACCGAGTTCGTTCTTTCGATGACCTTTTCTACACATTTCCTCTTCCCGAAATCCGAGTGTTCTAGTGACCCCATTCGGCAACAGTTCACTAGATCGAAGTACAGGGTTGCTTGCGAATCATTTACAGCTGGGGAATGGTGGGGCTAAAATTCAGTCAAGGAACCGGGTTCAAGGTTACCAGCGTGGTTAGTCATCGTCGGACTCAACAAAAATCGAAGGATATGCGTTTGCTTCCGTGGAGGAGCGCGAAAGAAAATTGTTCGCCTAGTCTTGTCCCGAGTAGCGGCGATACCTCCTTATCCAGTGCGAATCGGGTCCACTCGTCGGTAAAGAATTTCGGTTTTTAGGCAAGTGTTCATCGCCACACATTTCCATGACACGATTTTGCGTTCCTCGACAGCTGACTATTGTTCCCGGAGAGATTATGGTCTTTATAACCAAGTATGGTCACATAAGGCATTGGCGACTGTGCTGGAGGAAACCTCGAAAGTGGCTGAAATATCCTAGAGGCTTCTTGGGATTCTCCTGGGATTCTTCCTGGGAGTAAAAGAGTAATCGAATATTCTCTCCTGGCTGATCAATAAAGTGAGATTGAGCAAACATTTATTATTGTACACGAATAGATGCATGAACGCTTGCACCCGCTGGGGGCGTGTCCAGTAGGACTTGCACAGAAGACTTCTAATAGCCGGGAGGTGTACGTGGAGCTGAAAAACGCAGATTTGGCAATGGCACAAAAATGTTGAATAGAAGCGGAACCTACGAGGGCAATGGCCGCAATCTCCCTTGTCTCCATCCGTTCCAGGAGGTCCTTGAGGTCCATTGGGTCCTGGTCGTCCTTCGGGTCCAGAGTTTCCTGGATCTCCAGGAGGACCTGGTGGGCCCTTAAAATCACACTTTTAGTTTGCATCGTAATGGTTATTCAAATCCAGAAAAAAAACATGTGCAGAATCGAATTATCGGACTGACCTGGTATGATTGTCCGTCTGGACCAGGGTTGCCTTTGGGTCCAGGAGGTCCAGGTGCTCCCTGCTTTCCAGGTGGTCCTTGTGGTCCAGGAACAGGGATCAATCGACCGTTAGCTCCAGGAGCTCCCTTCATACCATCGCGTCCCGGTCTTCCGATTGGTCCAGGCTGTCCAGCCATACCATCCTCACCAGCTACTCCATCCTTAGGTGGCTCTCCAGGAGAGCCCTTTGGTCCTGGTGGCCCCTTAGCACCCATTGCACCCATGGGTCCTGGTGGACCAGTTGGGCAGATGATGCATGGCTCACTTGGTGGAGCTGCAAGCAATTCAGCATCACGTCCGTTCTTTCCATCTTTTCCGTTGCGACCATCCTTTCCGTTGTTTCCAGGTGGTCCCTCGGGTCCAGGTGGTCCAGCTGCTCCCTGATTACAGGTACAGCAAGTGGGAGCTGGTTCTGAGTTAACAACCGCTCCGTATCCACCGTATCCGGAAGCGGTGCTTCCAGAGCCTCCACCTGGAAATAATCTATAGTGAGAAGAAGCACAAATAATGTGGATGAGGGTTACAAGCAAAAAAATGTATGCAAAAACACACCTCCTCCTCCTCCAGAACCACCCTCAGGGATCCACTGTCCGAACAGCCAGGCTCTCTTCTGTCTGTGAAGCATGCCCTTGCCGGCTTGCAGAGCAGTCATTTCAAGCCACATATCTCGTGAACGAGCCTGATAAAGAAATGTTGTAGAAAAGAGAGGGAAGAAAAAGTAGAGGAAAGCGATGAATTGTGAAGGGAATAAAAATGAAAACGACATCTCACCTTGCAGTAGTCAGTTTCAACCATCAGATGACTTTGGAAGGATTGAACATAGTTGTAGAGCATCGGCAATGTGACGACACTGGCGATCACAGCCGCCGTCGAAACGACGACTGCGACGAACGCGATGCGTCGCATCTGACGCTGCTCCTCCGTCTCCTTGAGATCCATGCGGCTCTGCTTATCCAAAAATGCACCACCGCTTTTATAGTACGATCTAGAAGGCGTGGTCTGACCCTGTGTAGATAGCGTGTCTGGGATGGAGACGCAGCGCTCTCGTAGAAAGTGATACGGTACGAGACGAGCCGATGGTCACAACCGGCTTTCACCACTCTCGATGATTATCATCGCTATTGCTATGGGAAGTAATCAAGAGCGAGACAGCTGAATGACTCGCTTACAACCACTCGCTCTTGGGCAATCGCCTAGACTCGCGATTCTTCCTAGTCTAGTCTTTGGACTAATTCATAGCAAGTTCAGGACCAAACGCGTCTCCAACGCTGACATGCCCTAGTTCCTGGGACTTTTGAAAGCATTCTTGTGGACTGTTGAGCATCTTTCAACGCAAGAAAAAACTATCAAACATCCCCTTGAGCTTCAGCTAATTTTACTTCAGTCTTTCAATACTAATAAGCAGATGGCTAACAATATTTTTACTCCTGCTATTCTGTATGTGCAATGAATCAGCATGGAACTGGCACAAGTGCAGGAAGTTCGCAACGCAGAGGAATTTGAGTGCGAGAAGTGAACCTGATATAGCTATCCAGCATTCACGTTGCTATTTTATTTTTGTGCATACAAATATATCTCATGATTCACCCTACTGAGGCTTCCATCAGCTTTAATTTCGACCTACCATGAAGTAAGGCCCTTCAAGTGAAATTCATTCTGATAGCAGCCCGAACCTCTTCAATCCCTGAACGACAGCTTTGCTTTCACAGCTCCTTTTCTCAGAGCGGGTTGATTTGAATGAACCTCTGATTTCCTAGAGAAGATACACTGCGATCGATTTCGCAGGCGAATGAATATCAACAAGTTTTTTTTTACTTATTTAAACTGCACATGAGAAAACACTGACACCTCAAGAAAGGGTGAAAAACGTGTATGGAAATCCCTCTAGTTTTCTAGAGGGACTGAATTCATTTAGTATCCTACTCAAGCAGTGACATTAAGTGATTGGGAAATCTGAGCATTCAGTTCAAACAATATAAGTTAAATGAAGTTGCTAAAAAGATTTCAGAGAGATCGTAATGAGAATCTCATCTTAATAAGGAATTGACAAGCACGAAGGAAAGAATCGAGTGGGAATGGTAAAAGTATAAGAATTGGGAGCATTTTTGAACAGGCTGTGAGCATGGAAATGACGGTGTGTTCAAGACAAATATGGATTTTTGGACGAAATTTTCATCTTTACCCGTCGTCGGTATGTAGTGAATCGTGTTTTCAGCTGACCCAAATCCGTAACGAACGTCGTACGCCTTTGTCTTTTGCGATCCGTGCGCCGACGCTAGCGAAAAAAGATTCGCTGAGATGGGCGAAAAAACGAGACTGCGTATCAGTGGCGGAAGAGATCGCTCGATGTCCGGGACGCTCTCTTCTCCACTAACACAACGGGCATACCAGTACTCTCCCCTCTCCCCTGTCTTGTTACCATCAAACGATGCTGGTCAAAGAAAGCCTAACAAAGTAGAGGAAATCGCTCTAAACATTTTAGTGATATGTAGATCAATCACCCTATCAGAGAAAGGTCAAGGAACGACAGCCCCTCTTGAAAATCTGAGTCGAAATGTAGAGCCAAATAAGGACCATATCTGACTTGAATAAAAATTCGGCACTACATATTTACCCTTTACTGCCCCACTCCTCAAGAACTGAGCCGGATTTTGATCGAAATTCGTCCATGACTGTGGATTTTGCTAGAAACTTGCCTTCAGGGGTAATTTGACCCGTAGATCACGAATATCAATACCGGTTTAGAGCGAAAACGCTTGGCGCCGCGCCACAGGCGCCGGCGCTATCACATCAGTTTGCGCCGGCACCCATAGCGCAGGCTACAGGCTCACTCGTAATAAACTAATGTGATAGTCATGGTCTACGGATTAAACTACCTCTGACGACAAGTTTCAGCGAATTTGGTAATCCAGAGTGCTCTGGGCCAAAGGATGAGAATCAAGGTGACCAGAGTTCCTACAAAAGTCTGCGAGGAGTCTCAGAAGCAAGAAAAACTTAATATAACTTCCTCGCCTTCTTTTTGAACTTCTATCTTAGTTATTCATAAAACATGAGGCAGCTAAAGGATTTCAACAAAGAGCATGAAGTCACGAAGCTAAAACGAAACCAAAAAGAGAGGAGGAAAATGGAGGTCAGCGCCCTAAAAGCGAGCGAGATCCTTCACATCCTACATTCTAACGTTAGTCTGTTACAGCATCGCTATCCACATTTCATAGTTATACAAAGAAAAAGTGATGAAAGACGTTTT